ACTGTAGGTGTACTTATGCTTCTGTTTGCTTTTGGTTAATTTAATTTAAAATATTTTATTATGAATTTTTTTCATTTTCTCATTTTTTTACATTTTAATGGATGCGGATGTGGGTTTAATGAAATTATAAAATCTTTTATGAGTGTTTATGTTTACACACATATGTGCACACGAAAATTAAATTAACCAAAAGCAAACAGAAGCATAAGTACACCTACAGTGACGAGACTTCGCGACAGTCGCAGTTAGTCTCAACCCACTATTCTCTAATATTATCAGCTTAATAGGAGGTAAGAAAGATGTATCTAATGGAAACATAGGTATGGGTGTTTACTGAATACTGTGCGTTCTCTCTGCAGGCATATCGTTAGTGCTTTTAACGTTAAATTGGTTTAATCAAGAAAAATGTTACTGGCAGTCATGTAATAGAAGTGTTTTTATATATGTATATACATATATATATATATATATATATATATATTTTTTTTTTTGCTTTTCTTTGTTTTTATATACGTATACAGATCTTTCTACCTCATTCGGGTTCATATAATAGATGAATTATTATGAAAAGGAAAACATAAAAACAAAGGTAAAGATAAAATAAAAGCAAAGGTAAAGGTAAAGCATAATAGTCTGCACTGATTGAATTATAAAGTTAACTTCAGCAAAGTTTTTATGCATGTTTTTATGTTTTCTTTATATAGACATATGATTTCTATATTCAACTCCGTAGGATGGGTTACGTGAATGTTACTGTTCCTTGGGCAATACTCAAAACGACTCTTTGAAAATCTGCTCAAATGATTCTAGTTAACGGGAGAATCTACAAGAATTTCTCTTAAGCATTTGTTCGTCCGTTCGGTTATCCACTCGTCCATTCAAGCCAGTCAAAATCTGCCACCTCCCCATTTACATTTATTCTTCTTTCACTGATACGTGCACATTTCATATAATCCCTTACGCCCCTTCGTTCGAGGCAGGACACGGATCTATTCGTTCAATCGTGGTAAGCGTGCTTTGCCTCGTAGCAATTGTGAGTGGCTTCGCTTTCCTACAATGCAAAACTTACATAATCAAACTATTTTAATCACATTTGTAAAGTCTAAGAGGTCAGTTTATATTGATTAGAAAACTCTTTAAGTTAAGTTTGGACTACCATCAAGGATATAAGAAAATAAATAAAATTACATTCAAGTTCATAAAATTTGACAATTATTCAAATTTTTTAATTCTTAAGTGGATTACATGCTGTATGGAAAGTTGTCTGCAATTGTTAAGACGTGCAGTTCTTAAAAAAAAAACAAAAAAAAACACTTATTTGAGAAAATTTGAACATGAATCGATGTTGTTCTTTATCTACGCAGTGGTTCTTAAAACAAAGATAACAATGTGCATGCACGTTTTATAACTTGTGTAACAGTATTTGGTATTTAACACAAAATTTGTTAACTTTCTATGCTTCAAGCAATATATTATTTAAAAAAAAAAACAAAAAAAAACAAAGTAAAATTTGTTTTAGTTTATTATAATTGAAAATAATTGTCACAGTCAACCTATGATAGCAAAACGAACAGCCATATACCCATTCATTTGAAATTGGCTTTTGCCAGTGTAACTATAGCAAATTTGTGAGAGTTCAACAGCTTGAATTAGGTTAATTTTCAATTATTTCACATATAAACATATCAAAGGATTATAAACAAACCGAAACATTTTACATCTCCTCGCCTATAACCATCCCAATTAAAGATTGTAAAATTTGAAACATTTGAAAGTTTTACCAAACTGGCTTCTCATTATACTTGAGGCGGTGCAAAAATGTTACCTTATCAATCACTGCATGTTCATATATATGTGTAATGTCGGTAAAAAGCAAATCCTGGCGGCATGGCAACGCTGACTATTGCTGAGAGCCCTTATATGGGGAGAAATAGACTTATGCAGGCCGAACCCCGCACGATAACCTGATATGTCAAAAAAAAAATGCTATTTTGCATTGTTTTCTGCCGAGGAATACTTACTGCAAGCAGACTCGACACTTTTGATGGAAAACTTATTTTAAAGTAAAAAAAGAAATTTATATAGACTACAACAAATAGTTGAGCTTTTAGAGCTTTTTTTTTCTAAACGCCATCCCCTCTTTTGTGGTTTTCTGCATGCTCCCGTTAAAAATGTTATTTACCTTCAGGATAGTTTACACCGTTGTACAGTGTATCATTGTGTATATGTATGTACAATAAATTTATTACGCAAATACTGATTTTATTCGGGCCACATTTCAGGCATGTGGGGTAATGCTAACGCTAAGTTCACAGCTCCTTAAATGCGGGAAATTGCCCTTTTAAGAGAAGACATATTCTCATCCGTTACCTGAAACTGATCTGTTGGCTTTAAATTCAATGAACTTTTGACAAGCTTGGATTCTATGCTGACAAGCATAAGATATCACCAAAAGATTTTATTTCTATAGCATCAAATAGATCTGCACATACAATCTTAAGAACTTTCCTTGCTCTAGAACCGACTTTGGATAATTTTATTGCTTGTAACTTTTCTTAGGCATCTGTTGCATAGGTTAAAGATGCTACCTTCCAAAGTTCAGCTTTCAGCAACTCAAACATTTTATCGGCCCAATAGGTTTTTTGAATAGTAATGTAAACGTGAATGTACCATCCATCAATTTTCCTCAAGATCTCTAAAATTTTGCACCCAAGTTTTCCAAAAAATATTTTTCTCTTTCGTCGAGCCATTTCAAAAATTCACCGATCAAATAGCGATCCTTTAACTTCGAATTGAACAATTCCTTTACAAGTAGTTTTTAAATTCACTACCGAAGGGCAGGGGTATACTTATTATTTTTATTATACCCAGAAGGAAGCTTTGTCGAATGTGTAAAGTTTATATATTTTTGATCGGCATAAAATTCTGAAGTAAGTTTATTGTGCCCTGTCCGTCTTTCTGTCCGTGTATCGTTTACAGTTAATACATTTCTGATCGCAAAAATGAAGCTGACGGCTTTACATTCGGCAGAAGCTGATCGCAAAAATGAGAGTAAAAGTAGGAAATTTGGCAAAAAGATTGCAAGTCGTTGCACCCAGATTGATATTAAAAATTGGTCAGACCGGTTAAAGGACACGCTCATAGTTCAATATAAATTAAGAGCATTTCGAATTTATCGCTTTTCTGCCGAATGCATATAATCTACAACGTACACGCAACGAATAATTGTACCCACATGCTACAAAAATCATCACACGCACCTAATTTTATATGAAAATTTTGTTTTCTCGATTCTTTCTTTAGTCTTTTGCGAGGAAGAGGGGGTGTGTATAAAGGACTCGATCATGACCGAATATAATTTTCTCACCTGCTTAAAGATTGTATTGTATTTTGAAATTTGTGTTTCACGGTTATACTCACTCCTTTCGATAAGTAGTTTCACTTCGCGAGTCACAGTGCATAGAGGCTTCACTATCCATTCATCATCAAAGGTTTCTTGCTTTACATAAGTAGTAACGATTAAAGAATACCTATTAGAAAAATTAACACGTTTAATACAGTTTGATGCGTGGTTGAAATTTTTTACTGGCATACGACTTGACCATGTGGCTCATTTATTTGTAGGAATTCAATTTTCACGCCACCTGCCGTTACTTTCTTTCGTGAGCTTCCCTTGCTCACGATCATAGAATTATGTTCTGATAGCAATATTCTCAAAACAATTGAAACTTTCCCTTGCTTGCAGGCCCGCTCAGATTCTGTCTACCAACTTAAGTGAACAATTGTTTTATCCAAACTCAATTCTGGACAAGGGTTTTAATTTTGCAAAGATATCTTTGCAAGTCAATGCACCCTGCCTGCAGGTATAGAAATCGTTAGCCAGCTACCACAAACCTATATCTCGCTTGCCTTCCTTTGCCTGCATCAGCCGATGTTTTTTCAACCCAAGCCCAAAGTTGTTGCAACTAAATTGCATCGTGGTTGCGAAACCGCAATTGAACCAATTGTCAGATCCGATTAATTTCCCCTTGTTGTCATGGTTTGCAATTAAATTTTCCCATTTCAACAACATTTAGGTTGGGAATTTTCAAAACGAAAATGTGAAACAGTGGAGGTAGTCGCAAAAGAAAGTCATTATAATCTATTGACAATAGTGTAGCAATAGTTGGTTAAAAACATGTCAGTGTACTAAGCTTCATTAAAGTATCCTTCAATTTTCAATCGTGAGCTTCTCCGGCATGGCCCGACGACTAATTCAAATAAAGGACACAATCGAACTAAAGCATCGAAAATTGGTCAATAAGGAAAGCGTCGTCTTCTCCAACGACAAAACCATAATGTAACGAAAATTGACATAACTGGACTAGGCAGTATAGATAGCCTTGTAGAGCTCTCATAGTGATGAAAAGATGATTCTAAAAGCGATCTGTGAAGATCACTTATTTCAATTTTTTGCCCATCAATCTTGAAAAAAATCGCACAATGGGTTTTTCAAGAAAAGGTCAAAAGGTCATCGGTCAAAGATAGACGTGTTTGATTTAATGAAACTGATTCATCAAATGGACTCAGCATACGAGCATATGAGCGTAGCATTCTCAGTAGATTTACAAGTACTTTTTTATTATTGCCCGTGCTTTGTCATTATTGCGTCATGACTTAAAGACAAAAATCAAATTTGAAAAGACATATCTAAAAAAAAAAAAATAAATTGTTAAACAAGCTAACCATTTCAAGCCATCGTTGTCAATAAGTCTTAATCAGTATTGATCTAACACCCTTTACATGCTATAAATATTTGTCGTAGTCGAACGCTAACTGGCGCCTCTGCAAGCATAAAAAAGGTCTGGTAATCATTCATAATTTATTCAAAAACGAACAGAAGGAATGGGAACCAGTATCAAAATACTATGGATTCTCTTTCCTTGTTTTTCTACGTTATTTTCTAAAACACCACGAAAGGGTAACGAAAACCCATCATTTAATTTAAAAAAAAGAAAAGTTATGCTTATATGTTGTCCCTTCGCTTATTTATCTGTTTGTGCAAAATTTTAAAACAGTTTCCCATGCAGAAAACTTCAACGTATGCTTTTGTGTCCTTAAACGTCATCACAGCATTTACTTTGTTCTTCAATGGGCTTCTTTGAAAGTATAATTTATTATTTTGTGCATTTTTCTGTGAGTGAAAACTAATTATTTTTTTAGCACTTGTTGTTGTCCTGTCTCTTGGCTTCGCTTCTTAAACAGTGGAAAAGTTTAAATGTCCAAAATAATTTATATCTGCAGACGCATTAACATAAAATAAATAAAAATATTGTAGTCGGTTAAGACCGATCGTTAAATACCTTATCCAAAGCGCCTAATCCAAGGTTTGGTCGAAAAAATTATCCGATCCGAACAATTTTCAATAGCTTTCATTCTTGGGCCAAAACATCTCGATGTATCAAATTTCATCGAAATACCTTAAAAATTGCGACTAGTGGGTTGAACATAAATATACGTCGACGGAGTTGCGTTCAGTTCACGGTTAAATGCGCCCTTCCGCCCCGACCGATTTGGGCCATTTTCAATACCAGGAGAGTGTCAACAACACACACCACACGGATACACAGTAACACATATCTTTGTATGTGAGAAGCACATATTGGTTAAGTGCAATTTTTGAGAGAGAAAATCGCATTTCAATTACCATCAAGGGAAAAAGCTACAACGGCATGATTACTGATATGTTGTGGCTTAAATTAGACGATTTGATCTTGGATGTTGTGTGCTTTCAGCAAGATAGTGCTATACATATCGTGGTAAAATAAATTTATTGAGAGAAACGAGCAATGACGTCAATAAATGCCGATGGTAAGTCGCTACTACTATTACGCTATATAACTTAATTGGCCTTTTTTCTTTGCGCTTATATTACGTTCAATATATCAAGAGCCCTTTGAAACAAACATTGCTCGTCTCATTGCTAAAAGAGAAGCAGATTGACATGGAACAGTGTTCCAAAATGGAGTTTTTACAGCAATCTAGTAGCGGTTATATACGTGAAACCTTCTTCATATGAAAACGGCTTGTGTCAACGCCTAAAATGAAGGAAAATAATCGTAACGACATCCTGCTTATACTATTTATGCCATTTTCTTTCAATATCCTTTTCAAGTGTGGCATTATGTAAACGTGAACATTCCAAATTTCATCAAAATATTTCAAAATGGGCCACCTGCAGGTTATGAAAATATATTAGGCGGACGGATGAACAAGCAAGAGACAAACTTAAATCGATTCAAAAAATATTTCGAATAATGTTTCGATATAACAAATGGTTGGCCTAGCTTAAGTCTTTTTCGATGTTACCTGCATCTGCACAAACTTAAATATATCTTGTAGTACGACGACGTGGTGTGGCCTATGAAAAGGTAAATGACAGAGTTTAGGTAATTTCTGAATATTTTTCTTTACCAAAACAAAAATTTTTGAAATGTAAATTAGTTTTCCAAGTTACAGAAAGACAGATGACTTTTCGACCATAAATTAAATGCGTACAAGGAAGTGAATGTGCAAATGAAGTAAATGAATTTTTAGTAATTGCACCCCTAGTAATGTCTGTCTTCAGCTAACGTTAAATGTAACTTATACAACAATGAAATATTCATTGCATTGAATAGAAACTTGCTTCTTTCGTCTTTTGTCCAGCTACGAATTTTTCCTTTTATGTTATTTTTCTAAAATTTTTTATTTACCTAAAAACTGAAAAACGTACCGTTGCAAAAAAAAAAGAAAAGGGTAAAATTTTGAAATGAACAAATGTGTGTTGGGGCAACAACTAACAGTTGTGATTAAGTTTACTTTAAAGAAAAGTTGTGTGTAATCAGTTGATTTAATGGGGGAATAATTTGAATTTCTCTTAGGAATTTTATCAACAACAAATGAATCCAACTAAGCTTCTAATGCTTCGACACTTTTATAATATAAACTTTTTTTGAAAACGTAAATGTCTCTGTCTTGCATGTATCTTTATAGAACCTTAAAATTGCATTTAAAAGAAAACTTTTTTTTTTCTTTTCTTACATACTTTTTACTATATATCCAAAAAGTGAATAACTAAATATTAGAGGAGAATGAGAAAAATAACTGGGGTTATTGCTCCCCAATGGATACAATTAATAACATAATAAAACGGAGCTATGTGAGCTTAGAGAATTCATTAAAATAATTTAAGGTACAACAACGAATTCTTTTTTAAATGAAAGATCAATTGTAGGCTCATTTCATAGGACTCATCCCAAAAAAATATTGCCAAGGGCTTTACGTGATTGCTCAGTCCTAGGAAATGCGTTAAAATAGATTTTTGATGAATCGAAAGTCCGAATAGCCTACGGGCATTAACAGTAGGACAGATAGTCTTAGTTTGACATCCTTGTAGTAATTCAATAGTAGAGTAACTGATTGCTCTCTTCGCAGTTGTACGCTATAGGTTCAAATAGGTTGTAGACCGCTATTATGCAAAATGCGTTTATTTCTTCGGTTAAGTTGATTACAGTTGTTGATAGAGACGTTACTGCCATTCATATATAATGGTGTCCCATAAGTTTTTTCCCCGCCATGCTGGTCTTGAACCATCTATATTTGTAAACTTGCAGGCTTGCTCTATTGTTTGTTTACGGCATCTATTTATGTAATGAAGCACAAGAAACCTTTTTCACCGTACACGTAATATGCTTAGATTTTTCAGCATTTATTTTGATATTCCATTTGATGGCTCGAGAGAAACTTCTTTAAGATGACTTTGTAGTTCACAGGAAACATTCATGGGAACACTAGACGAAAATACCATTACTATGACATTATCGTAAGCGGAAATCGGAAAACCCAAAGTGAAAATTGCACAGAGTAGTAAACTTAGAACACTTCCATCTTCAACTTTATATATATTAGATCTATCATTTTCAAATTTAATATAGTTTTGTAAATAGGGTTTAGGCAGCAAATACATAGGAGCTGGAAAAAATATTGTTTAGTTTAAAAAGTAGTCCATCATCGAAAGCTTTTTTCGCATCTAGGAATATATCGACGCAATAAAAACATCAGAAATATTTTCAGGCACAAGTAAATTATATTTTTTATTACGATATAAATTTGTAAAGTTATGTTTAAATATATTACGTAAAAAATTTTCATAAGGAAGATTCCGTGTGGAACTTTTTTTTTAAAAAAAAAGTAAATATTCAATGTAAACAAAACCATAGGAAACTTAGTTAATAACGTACATAGAAAAGTGATTGCAAAATATTTTGGTATCTGTTGTTTAAGAAATTTCATAACGATTTTAATAACAACACTATTAAAAAGTAAGATGTGCATATGCTTTGACACATTTTTTTTAAAAATTAGTGCGAATGTAAATAAAGAATGACATAAATCCTATTTGAAATCTTTTCAAATAACTACTTAGATTAAGAATTACAGATTCTGAAGATCATTTTCAATAAACTTGCTCGCGAAATGAAATGAAAGCGAAAATATCAAATCATTTCATGCACATCCTTTTGAAGGTCCAATTATTGGTTGTGTTTTGTTACAAGCCTTCGAAACGCCTCCGCAATCAAATGTGGATGCATTATAATCATATTCTGCCAACCTTGGGTTTCCATAACATCGGTAGCATTACTATATCGAATAATAAAAGGAAAGTAAACAAAACAGATTAACTTTCGTAAAACAGAAAGTAGATACAAATATTGTGTTATATGTTGCGGCAAGAATAAAATTAAAAAGAAAAGAAAATTTAACTATCTGCTCTAGCACTAGGTAAACTAAAGCACTATTTTATGAATGATAACTTTTTCTTTCTTAATAGATTTTAAATATGTGCGAAGCGTGAAGCAACTCTACCACACCAATATACATCATAGCCCTCTCGCATTACTACTAACGTAAAAAGTATATGACGCGTAGGCGTTAATTAAGAAGGAAAAAAACATGAAGACTTTGCGCCCAGCAAGCGTTTCTATTACGACATTTTTTTTTTTTTTTGCTTAATTTTGAGGGCGTCAACCTGTTAAGGGCGGACATTTAAACAGATACTAAAGTGCATATTAATCAAATTTTTTTCGTCAAAGTATGCTCTTGATCGTCACAATTTGGCGTGGGTTCTCGCCAGTTTACCAAATTAACATACGTCGCACTTCATAATCTTCATAATGAGTCGAATTTGCCGAGCAAGCTACGTAACACGTGCATATGAAATTGGGCTAAGTGTAGCCCTAAATGCGGGCCCTTATTTTACAAAATTCATATTAAATGAAAATAGCACTTCGGTCGTTTTCTGATTTGATAAGTTAAAATTATCATTTTGTAGTTGTAAAACCCTACTGCTGACAAAAGAAGTCCAGAATTTTTTATGACAAACGGGAAACGAGAAAATCTTTTCACAAACTTCATCGGACACCATTTTGCTCATAACTGATCGAAATCGCTCAGGCGTTCAATACAGGCCGCATGTGTTTGGATATCAAATGCACTTATCATTCATGTTTTTTTTTTTTTTCTTAGAAAGAACAAAGAAGAGAAGATAGACAATACAAACATTAAAAAGCGCTCTCTAAAGGAAAACGTATGATCAGATGGTCACATTGCATACGATAGCTTTTCTCATAAAATTCCCTTAAACCGCAAAACAGTCGACTTACGTGAGAATGAAGCGTATGGTTTGGGCTTTTAGTTGATCGATACTATGAAGGTCAGCTAATATTAAGATTTCGGCGGCGGTTTCTACGGAAAGCTTGGCGCATAACGCCTTGGCACACATCACTTTAAGATTGTCCAAGGCATACTGCAAAAGAACAATAGTTTTAATATTTAAAAATATTTAATGACAAAGAATACAATTAGTTACTTAACCTTATCAGCAGCTGCTAACAAATCATCAGCCATTCTATCCAAATTTGGCGCTTCGCTCGTGTAAATAAATCTTAACATTTCTATTACCACTTCAGGATCAATGTCGTTTATAGTGACACGATTTAGTTTGCATTCTATCGTTTCGTGCTCAAACATGGCGGCAAAGACATCGCTGCGGGCTTTTGAAGAAAATTAAATAAAAAAAATTTGTCAAAACTTTAATTGTATATGTAAGAAAATTATGTTAATCTTAGAACGATCTTTTGATATTAAAGCAAATGCTTTCTAAATGGCCATTGGTGTTTAGTTGGCCTTAATTTTAAATGGGTATCGCGTACATAGCCTTTAAATTCCAATTTTTTCTTTTGCTTTTTTCGTGAGTATACTTGTGGGCAGATCGCACTCAGCATTAAACTCAATCTGCGACCATAAGTTACCGATTTGACATAATGCGAACATGGTTGCTCTAAACAAGATTAAAACCTTTTATATATACTTTATGGAATATCCGAACCAAATTTTTATATGTAAGATGCGGTAGGAACAAAAATAGATTTTCTCTCTCTCTCTACTTTGTGACTGTATCATTACCGTCCAATTTCTATAAATGTAAACAAGATAGGGAGCAGGGTTTTCTTCTCTTTTTATGTTTGCAATTTCTTTTTGAGGGAAGCTTGGCTGCTCTATGAAATGACTCTATTTTAAAAATAAAAAAAAACTTTTATAAGAATGTCTTCGTGTGCCCTCCTGTCTCTAAAAAGCTTCTACCGCTATTTGCCCGTCTACTTATAATCAATGCGCGCCTGTCCGTAATATCCAATAGTGGATAAAATTCTATGCTTTTTTGACTTACCAGCTAATACAGCTTTGTGAACTCGAAAACTGCGATCACCCACAACTACCGTGACATCACTATATTTCTCACTATCAAATAGTTTGCCGAGATCTTCGTTTAACTTGAAAGCAGATAATTTAAATTGTTGTGTTTGTGGTTGAGAAGAAATATCGATGACCTCCGCTTTCACACACATCTCACAAAAAATGGTTAGCTTATCTTTAGGGAGCAAGCCATTGGCTACGTCTAAGAGATAATTTTTATTTATAAAATTTTTAAAGCCACTGTCGCTGCCATTAATATATTGATGAACGCTGCAAAAAAAAAGTTTAGGAATCAAAAATATTGTTGCTCTTATAAAATATAAAAACTTATTCACCCTAAAGTTTTCGTATTTTTTTTCTCTTTTGCCTCATTTAAAATGCTCAACATACATTCGGCGTTTACTCCGTTTCGTTTGTTGAACAGAGATGGGGAGAGTAATTCTAGGTATATTGCAATCGATGTTGCTAAGACTTCCAAGTTCAGGAACCTGTAAAGGAAAACAATTTGGAAACTATTTAAAAATAAGCTTAAAAAAGTGTAAACGTCTCACGACCATTTCAATTCTTCGTTGTCATCAGGGAAGAAGGTTGGGGACGGTAAAATTTTAGACTCTTCCTTGCACCAAAAACTAAAATCGTCTATAGTCCACTTATAATTAAATCTAATCATTTTCACCTGGAATAGAAGCCAAGAGAAAAAGTTTTTATAAAATTTTAGATGAGAAATCCAAGTGCGCCTCGAACCCTTCGCTTTACCTTTGTATGACCCCAATATTCAGGCACGGTCGCGACCGATGGCGCACTATTGAACTCCATTGCGCTACTTTTAAATTCACATCTACTCTACAAGTTCCACTGGCTCGCAGTTTGTTAGCCGACAATCTGCAAAATCAAAACAGCAAAATTGGAACAATGTTAATAAATAAATTTAATTAGTTGTAGAGTTGAAAAACGAAAAAGTTTTGTTTCATTTATCAACTTCTCATACGTCTTATATTAGTTTGGGGAAAAATAAATCCATTATTCATGGCTGCACTGATTGAATTCTCGTAAAGTATCGATCAAACAATTTCCGATACTGTACATTTACATACTGTACATTTCGCAGTAAAAAAAATTCTTTTGCTGTTTTTTGTTTGGTGCATTCAGTTGTGAGTTACACCGTGTTAAAAATGGAAGTGAACAAAGAGAAAATTCGGTACATTTTACAGTTTTTCTTTGACAAAGGCGAAAATGCAAGCCAGGCGACTAAAATTGTGAATGGTGTTTATGGTTCCGATACTGTAACAGCCAATTATGTGCAATTTTGGTTTCGTAGATTCCGTTCAGGCATTTTTGATGCTAAAGGAAGTTGACCGGCATGTTAGCAGTCGTGATATCGCCCAGGAGCTAAAAATCGGCCATAAAACAGTTTTAAACCATTTACACAAAGCTGGATTCAAAAAGAAGCTCGATGTTTGGGTGCCACACCAATTAACAGAAAAAAACATGATGGATCGAATTTCCATCTGCGAAGCCTTGGCCAAACGGAATGAGATAGACCCATTTCTTAAACGGATGGTGACTGGAGATGAGAAATGGATCACATACGATAACCCTGTGCGAAAACGATCGTGGTCAAAGAGCGGTGAAGCACGTCAAACAGCCAGGAAGGTTTTTCTATGCATTTGGTGGGACTGGAAGGGAATTATTTATTATGAGTTGCTTCCACATGGCCAAACGCTAAATTCTGATCTCTACTGTCAGCAACTGGACCGTTTGAAGATAGCGATTGACCAGAAACGGCCAGAATTGGCAAACAGGAGAGGTGTCCTGTTCCACCAGGACAACGCTAGGCCACACACATCTACAGTGACTCGCCAGAAACTTCGGGAGCTTGGTTGGGAAGTTTTAATGCGCCCGCCATACAGTCCGGACTTGGCACCAAGCGATTATCATCTTTTTCTTGCATTGCAAAATTTCTTTAATGATAAAAAATTGGAATCTAGGGAGGATTGTGAAAATCGACTACTAGAGTTTTTTGCAAATAGAGACCAGGACTTCTATGAGAGAGGCATTTTGAAGTTACCTTTAAAATGGCAACAAATCATACAATAAAACGATGCATATTTGACCCAAATCGGACAATCCGAAGCATGTTAAATAAAGTCCTGAAGTTCATATAAAAATAATGGATTTCTTTTTCCCCAAACTAATACGTCTCGGGGATATATAGTGAAAAATTTGAGGAAGAAAATATGGTAACATAATCGTCTGCTTCTGAAGATAAAGCTGCTCTCTATGATTCTGTACAATAAAATTGCTTTATAACGTCTATGTGTGATATTTAACAATAATGAGGGTATGTTTCCAGAATAAAATATTAGTTAACTACAGGGAAGAGAGTATTATTGCGCCCGATCGACTTGTTTGATACAACCCACACCAATATCGGCTTTTTGGGATGACGCAGGTACAACAGCTGTTAAATACTCTCTCTCATATGTTTCCCATTATATGACAGCAATTAGCCATCAGGTTGGGATTAGTATTGATTGTTTAGAGTTGCATTTATAAGAGAAAACAGCTGTAAATTGAGACCAAAATAAATTCCAAACACAAATGCTTACTTGCAAACAGCTGAGAAACAACAAATATTGCAATATTAGAATGGAAGTTATCATTAACTTACATCTAGCGCGGTTTTGTTGCGAAAATCTTTTGAATTTTGTTTAAAGCTTATATCATTTAACAGTTGGTTTAGGTTTTCACGGTCGTGCACACAACTACTTAGGACTGGAAGATGACGTGTAAATGCAACCACTGAAGATTGAAAAGCATTACTAAACTAAAAAATACTTACAGTTGGTACTCTAGTTAGGGATAATATGCAATGACGTATATAATTTAGTAGAAGAATAGTTATCACTGCATTGGCAAGGTAAATGCACGCGAACGGAAAAAGATGTATATCTATTGTTTTAAGAAAAAATACAATTGTTAGTTTAATCTCAAAGAAAAGGCACTAAAAACTGTCTTATCCGTACGATTTTTTTATAATTAATTGATGATTTTTGCAATTTTTTTTTTTAATTTATTCAAAAACTATGCATCCATTAATTAATAGTTAGTTGGTTTAATTATCAGGGAGAAGGACCAGCTACTATTAAATATAAACAATAATATCTCTCTTTTCTCTGTTTTTTCATTCACATATGAACATCTATACAAAAGCAATTTTTGCTGTTTGCCCTTAGGAATTTGGATTGGGACCCGATTTCCCCTCTTCCACCCTATGAAGATAGGTTGCTTCTGTTATCCTTACCGTCACTCGAGAAACGTAGATTTGTTCTTGGGGTTTCCTTCTTAATCAAATTAATAAATGGTGCAATTGACTTCGTAGGATAGGCTTTAATGTCCCTAACCGCTTCTCTAGGCACTTTATGTTGATAAAGCTTAGTCAATGCAAATATAATTTTGAACTGTTTAACCCGCTCAGAGTTGTTTGCAAGAACCTAAATGACGTCTATCATTTATTCTCATTAATGGACTCTTTAAAGTCCATTAAAGCAACATTGCTTAATACGCGCGATTTACCTATGTCATACTTAAACTGACTTAACCTTAAATATGTCATTATGAGACGAAAATTAATTTGTTGTGAACAATTATCGGTTGCCAAGCTTATGCATGTTTGCGATGGCTTAGGGGTTCACTTGCAATTTGGTCCTGTATCGGTTGTGGGTGTGGCTCTATGCTAATTGTGTACATGCTTTTTTTTTCTTTCTTTTTTTTCCTCCTTATTTGTTTTATTGTACTTATACTAAATTTTATTATTAATTAATTTTAAGATTTACTTAAGAGTCAATTGAACTCGACTGCCATTTTGTTTTAGTTGAGTTTCTTGTATAAGTGGAATAAATAAATAAATAAATAAATAAATAAATATGAACGGTAGCAATGAAAATGACAAGAAACTTTAATGCGATCGAGACAAAAATGTTTATCAATTATCGATTTGGTCCCGAACGAAAAGAGTAGAGTGCAGCTAAGATATCGAATATGTTTTCTTTATTTTTTCGAAATACAGAACGGCTGTACTCCATGAAATGAAGACAAATTTTGCTTCTACATTAAGGAATGTACGATTTTCATCACAGTCATAATATCGAGTCAAAATATATACGAAATCTAAAATGAAATGGAAACTTAGAAATAAGACGTCGTTTCCCGTTAAGGTTTTCGCATGAAAATATCTAGCAAAACATATGCGTCACAAATATACAAAATGTACACAGAGGATGGCATAATTAACTTCATTTCAATTTGTTTTGTTCTTACAATTCCTTAAAAACAGTTATATACGTACATCAAATTGGAAGTTCAAGGTAAGGACTATAAATGTGAACAATCTTATTGATATATTTATGGTTCAAATATATTTGAAATTTTCACAGGGATAACTGTTAATGCTCTTCCCTTTAGAAAAAATTATTTATAATGAGTTGCGTTGTAGGTTCACATATGAAAGGAATACATATTCCCTTTATCGCTGATTCATTCATATACCACGCGAATTATTTTTTGCCTGTCCTAGTTCGACCGAAATTACAAAGCAAAAACAAATAAAAAAGTAATCTTCGGCTAGCACCGAATTTTATACATTCGTCGCTAATCAATTTATCTTGCCATGCTTGTATACGTATTTGCATAAAAGTGAATGGAATGACATTTATTTTTTACGCTTTGGTTTATTTAAATAAAAATTTATTTGAAACAAATTTTTTTGTATAATTTTTTTTTTTGCCTTTTAGTTTTTCAGAAATCGCATTCTGCCCTCCAAGCTGCCTTTTTCAACATCCATTGCGATGGGATGGTTAAAAAAAAGTTAAAATGTCCACAATGTGTCTTCATCAGAGCCAACTGAGAGAACGAGAATTTAAGAGCCAGATGTCAAATGGCTGCTAATTAACGGTATTTTTATTACTATTAATAACAGAGACACAATAAGTTCACCATAATCTCATAGTTTGGACATACACACAAAATTTTAAGAATATGTCTTATCTACCGTATGAGTATGAAATGGAACGAAAATTTAATCATTTATAGCTTTGAATGGGCATGGGCACGATTTTTCCTGTTTCTGAAACCAAACAGTTCTGCATAAAGTAAATTTAGAAAGTTTTCGCTTTTTATCTTTCATAATTTATAAATAATGAACAGAAACTTACACATTTTCGATTAGAGAAACAAATGTTCGTTCAGTTTACTCTTTACTGTGAAGGTGCATTTCGACAATTTGAAATTCGAAATTTGGCGCTTTCTCAATACCATTCTGCGTGCAAGAATTTCAATGTATCTTTGAAATTTAAAGTTAATTTCCCAACTTTTGCGACGAGGGTGCAATGTCAACCACAGATACCATATAGACAGGCAGCTGCAGGGACATGCAAAGACAGACCCACAGACGAACAGACATGGCTAGATCGTTTAAGAATTTCACGACAGTCAAGAGTATATGCTTTTTATAGAAGGTCTAAAAGCCTTCTTTAGGTATTAAAAACATTATAACAAAACAAGTGCGCCGCCAATCTTCAGTGATGGGAATAAAAAAAAAAATGTAACCGCTCGTTAAGTCTGAAATCCATCCTCTCAATGTATAGCTAACACTATATAATGTGGAGCTTCACTATCTTCAACTCTGCGCACCGCAGCGAAAACAAGGGATCGCTTTTTGCGGACTGTCGCTTACTACCTATGGTCTCAGTGCGGACGGAAATGCAGAATTTTATAATGCTTTTTTAGCATTTGTGTTGAATTGTTAACGCGTTTGC